ATAAATGGATACTTAAAGTGATGAAAGGCTCAACAATTTATTCAGTTATATAATCTGTGAAAATGTGTTTTTCTCTTATAGTCTCCCAAATGATGTCACTCTCATTGATGCCAATTATGACACGTCTGAACATTAACTATAAAATATCGTCCGTTTCTCGCATTTTATTATTACTATTAGTTTTGTCGGCAATTGTGGAAAATCTGGCGACGAGTCGGTACTACAGCACAAGTGGTCTGTTTTTATCGTAACGTTATATTATATAATATGCATATCATATCCAAACAATTTGCATGTCGTTTGTCTGAATTTTAAATTAAATTTTTATCTATAGAAAAAGATTTTTGTAATATTCAGTATTTTCTATTGTTTTTTGTTGTTTAGCAAAAACACTATAGAAATCTATACAAAAATCTAAACAAACTTTCTTAAAGAAAACAATAGATTTTTATCTTTAGAAAATATATCACAAAATATTTGTATTAAATTTATATATCAAAAGCACACAACAGTTGTGTGTGTTTTTCAAACGATGCTCTCATTGAATGACGCTTTTGTATGAATTGCCAAAAACTCCTACACTATCTCTAATACAGAAAGTAATACACATTTCAATAAAATATGTCTCACGTATGATATGTTACGAGAATAATAGTAATGTTATTATATTTTTTTGAATTTTAAGATCACTTTCTCTTATTTAAAGTCTTGTCACAGAAATAGAGATATATTTTCTGTCTTTTCCCCGAAATTATGTAATCGTTGAGTAAAAAGTAGTGACGTTTGCCTTAAAAAAGCATAAAACTCTTTCGCAAACAATTAGTTATTTATATAAAAGCCTATTAAAGCCCTTTTTAACAGTAATCCCTGTTATAAAGTATTTGCAAACAACACTTATTTTTGAAATTTAAGCAAACATTTAATTGATTTCAATTTAGTAAACAATTTTTTGTCTAAAACTATTTAATTAAAAGTTCAGATAATTGTGTTTTGCAAATAGTTTTTGGCTAAAAATTTTAGATCAAAATATTTAATTAAAAGAAATTTTAAATTTAATTTTATAACAAACCCCAATTTGATAGAATGTTTCTAAAATTAATTTTACCATGGTTACATTGTTGGTAAAAAATATTTAATTAATGTTTTGAATATTACATAAATGTTAAACCGATTAAATAACTTAATAAATACTTTAAGGACAAATCCCTCAAACGGTTTTATATGTCGTTTAATTTAGTGCTAATTAAATGTATAAAAGCTATTTTAAAAAACATATTTGTTTGCTTAGCTTTCGGTCGGTTTAATTAATTCGCCGTTAAATAAATTAATAGTAACTAAATGTTTGCATTTTATTGATTATAATTTACAAGAATTTGATTACAACAGTGTCTCAACTCATGTAACAAAAAACATATCCATCTAATGTAAAATATTTGTTAAAACTGAATAACATTGTATAATAAATTAAATTTAATGCACATTAAATTATGATTATCATTACATAACGTATATAAATATAACCATAATTAATTATATATTTTATTAATGTGGTAAAACACAGCAGACAGTGAACTCACATCTGATTTAATGGATGACTACAACGGAAATATCGCAAAACTTTTATTTGTTAATAGAAAGTGAGTTTCAGTTACGGCTATAAAAACATATGGACTGCAAGAATGTGTCCTAAAATTGATTACTATTTTTTATACATTTCTACAGAAGAAGTTGTTTGAGACGAGCGGCCAGTTGTGACCACAGACCCGATGATTGCTGCGACAGCTCTGTCTGCAGGTATTTAATTGCATATAAAGAAACACTTTTCTTACAAATTGAATCAATTACTAAAATATTTTCTGATTATTATAATAATAATGATTGAATAACTATTGACTAAAACAGATGTAATGTTTGGGGAACGAACTGCCGGTGCCAGAGGGCCGGTCTCTTCAAATGGGGCTAAGCATGTGGTGTGGCTTATGGTGGAGACGAGGCGTTGTGATGGGATAATACGATAAGACTTAATCCGATTCCACATAAAAAATATAATAAGTTTTAGTAATATTAAATATAATGACGAGAAAAACCATATGAAATAAACCATTATATTATAAATAATCAGTAATTCCATTGCGTTTGATATATAACTTATTGGTTATGAAACATATAATTATTAAATACACAGTATTTATATTTTAATCTCTTATTTCTATGTATTAAATGATTAATAATAATTTTAAATGTAGATTAGTTTTCATTACTATTGATATGTATGTTATGTAAGATCGATATATTTTCAATGTATTTCTATATTATTTATTATCATTAGTATTGTATAAAATAATAGTAAATCTGGTTTTAAATGTTACAATGTTGTGTGAATTTTATGAAGCAATTTGTTTATCATTAAATTTGTTTAATTTTAATAAAGTGTTGACTAATTGTTTGATTTAATGCATTCATTAAAGAAAAAATTGTCCCGTTTTTTGCAACTAATTAATTATCTCAAGTGTTTTCATGGACTGTAAACACACGGATAGATACTTATTAACGATTTAATTAAATAAAAATCTAAATAAAATACTTCAAATTTGTTTCATACTATTGTTTAATGAATCAATCAATGAATATAATTTAGACATCTATTAAATTCGTGTCCAAAATACCAAATATAAAACTAAAGCAACAAATAATGTTAAAACTTTGAATTAACATAAGTTTTTATTCTATGTTTTATTTATAACTTATGTTAATTAAATGTCATATGAATGGGAATAATACGAAGACATTAAATAATTATACAATTTCATTACAATCATGAATATAAAATTAATTTGTATAATAAA